GCAGTGAGCCAATCATGCCACTGCACTCCAGCCTGGGCAACAGAGCAAGACTCCATCTCAAAAAAAAAAAAAAGAAAAGAAGAAGGCCAGGCGTGGTGGCTCATGCCTATTCCAGCACTTTGGGAGGCCGAAGCGGGTGGATCACCTGAGATCGGGAGTTCAAGACCAGCCTGACCAACATGGAGAAACCCCATCTCTACTAAAAATACAAAATTAGCCGGGCGTGGGTCCCAGCTACTCAGGAGGCTAAGGCAGGAGAATCCCATGAACTCGGGAGGCAGAGGTTGCAATGACCCGAGGTCGCACCATTTCACCCCAGCCTGGGCAACAAGAGCGAAACTCCATCTCGAAAAAAAAGAAAAAGAAAAACTCAAGATAATACTTTTTCCAGTGCCACATCCTTGCTGTGTGCAGCCCCATGGCTATGAGACCAGCACCTCATCTGTGCCCACAGCCAGAGGAAAGCAGCCCTGAATCAACCAAGGGCCAGGCCACTGAGGGCCCTCTACTCAGGAAGTGCAGGCCTGGGGAGAATGCCCCGGCCTCCCACACCGCAGTGGCTGGCTGTGGTTGGTCCCCAGGGCCAGTGAGCTGCCAGCTAGGCCAGGAGATGGGCCTGAGAGGACAGGCAGGGGGCGCTCAGGTCCCACCTCCACAGGGACTAATGTAAGCAGAAAAGCCTCCCAGAACCATGCACAGAACAAGGGGTGGTCCTGTTGTGTGGGAGATGGCCATGAGACCCCTCTATCCAGAAACAAGGGAGTTGTTGAGGTACCTGTATGTGGCAGGTGGATTCTCCTAGGTCAGTACCCCATCCTGGCTCCAGATCCAGCACGGACTCACTTCTCCCTGGCTGATGCTCCCACCGGGCACACGTGCAGCATTCTGAACCCCACCACGGGCAACAGGTCCAGGCAGCTTCTCCCCGGCCCTCCAGCCAGGCCCTGTCCCTTCAGCCTTAGATACAAAGTCTGGCTTGTGTGGAAGGAAAGGAGCCACCTAGGAGGCAGAGGACAATTTCCTAACACTCGGGAAACAGCTATAGCAGAAGCTGAACCCACTACAGTATCGGGCACTGGGCCCCACAGGCTTCCCTGGGCATCACGCAGAAAAGCCAAGCAAGACCAGACTACGGCAGGAGAGTCGGGTCCACCCTCAGCTCTGTCAACATCAATCAGGAAACAGCCTGCAGAACAGGAGCTGGGAAGACCTGTGTTCAGACACCCAGGGCCTGAGGCCAACCACAGCCCTCCCCTCTCACCTGACATCTTTGCCCACTATTCTGGGCACAGGCGTCCTGGCAGCCTCAGCTCCACAGGGGAGACTGAACCTGTGTCTGTTCAGAAATCAGCCGAGTGACCCCAGCAAAGAGGATGCAAAGGAAAGGTAAAGCCATGTCTTCCTCGAGGCTGGAACCCGGCAGGTCTGTGTTTCTTCCAGCTGCTGGCAATCAGGACTCCAGCTCAGTGCAGTGTTTCTGAACTTCACCCCTGCTGAGGTACTTCCTGCCCCTCACACACCAGGAGAATCACTGAGGAAGGACTCCTGGGGACGGAGGAATGGTAGATTCCCCAAGTCAAACAGAGGAGGAGAAAGGGAAGCTGGCAGATAGAACAAGGAAGGCCAATTAGTCCACAACCATGTATGGAAAGTGTTGGAAGGAAAGGGGCCCCCGAGTTGACATTTAAAAAGCAAGCAGTGGCCGGCAGCGATGGCTCACACCTGTAATCCCAGCACTTTGGGAGGCTGAGGCGGGCAGATATTGAGGTCAAGAGATCCAGACTATCCTGGCCAACATGGTGAAACTCCGTCTCTACTAAAAATACAAAAATTAGCTGGGCGTAGTGGCACACGCCTGTAGTCCTAGCTACTTGGGAGGCTGAGGCAGAAGAATCACTTGAATCCAGGAGGCAGAGGTTGCAGTGAGCTGAGATCGCACCACTGCACTCCAGCCTGGCAACAGAGCAAGACTCTGTCTTTTTTTTTTTTTTTTTTTTTTGAGACGGAGTCTCGCTCTGTCACCCAGGCTGGAGTGCAGTGGCGCGATCTCAGCTCACTGCAAGCTCCGCCCCCCGGGTTCACGCCATTCTCCTGCCTCAGCCCTCCGAGTAGCTGGGACTATAGGCGCCCGCCACCTCGCCCGGCTAGTTTTTTGTATTTTTTAGTAGTGACGGGGTTTCACCGTGTTAGCCAGGATGGTCTCGATCTCCTGACCTCGTGATCCGCCCGTCTCGGCCTCCCAAAGTGTTGGGATTACAGGCGTGAGCCACCGCACCCGGCCAAGACTCTGTCTTAAAAAAAAAAAAAAATGCAAGCAGCCAGGCGCAGTGGCTCACGCCTGTAGTCCCAGCACTTTGAAAGGCTGAGGTAGGAGGATCACTTGAGCCCAGGAGTTTGAGATCAGCCTAGCCAACATTAAGACCCCATCTCTACAAGAAAATTTTTTTTTTTTTTGAGACAGGGTCTTGCTGTGACGCCCAGGCTGGACTGCAGTGGCGCAATCTCTGCTCACTGCAACTTCCGCCTCCTGGGTTCAAGCGATTCTCCTGCCTCAGCCTCCCCAGTAGCTGAGATTACAGGCGTGCACCACTATGCCCAGCTAAATTTTTTTTTGTATTTTTAGTGGAGACAGCGTTTCACCATCTTGGCTAGCTGGCCTCAAACTCCTGACCTCAGGTGATCCATCCGCCTCAGCCTCCCAAAGTGCTGGGATTACAGACGTGAGCCACCGTGCCCAGCCAAGAAAATGTTTTAAGAAACTAGCCAGGCATGGCTGGGAGCAGTGGCTCATGTCTGTAATCCCAGTACTTTGGGAGGCCGAGGTGGGTGGATCACGAGGTCAGAAGTTCGAGACCAGCCTGACCAACAGGGTGAAACCCCGTCTCTACTAAAAAAATAAAAATTAAGCCGGGCGCGGTGGCTCATGCTTGTAATCCCAGCATTTTGGGAGGCCAAGGCGGGCGGATCACAAGGTCAGGAGATCGAGACCACGGTGAAACCCCGTCTCTACTAAAAAATACAAAAAAAAAAAACTAGCCGGGCGAGGCGGCGGGCGCCTGTAGTCCCAGCTACTTGGGAGGCTGAGGCAGGAGAATGGCGGGAACCTGGGAGGCAGAGCTTGTAGTGAGCTGAGATCCGGCCACTGCACTCCAGCCTGGGCGACAGAGCGAGACTCCGTCTCAGAAAAAAATAAATAAATAAAAATAAAAATAAAATAAATAAATAAATAAATAAAAATTAAAAAAAAATACCATTAACTGGGCATGGTGGCAGGCGCCTGGAATCCCAGTTACTCAGGAGGCTGAGGCAGGAGAATCACTTGAACCCGGGAGGTGGAGGTTGCAGTGAGCCAAGATTGCTCCAGTACACTCCAGCCTGGGCAACAGAGTGAGACTCAGTCTCAAAAAAAGAAGAGGAAGAAACTAGCCAAGCATAGTGGTAGCACATGCCTATAGTCCCAGCTACTGGGGTATGACCTGTAGTGGGAGGATCACTTGAGCCTGGGAGGTCAAGGCTGCAGTCAGAATTCAAGGTTAAAGAGCTGTGATTGCACCACTGCAGTCCAGCCTCAAAAAAAAAAAAGGGCTGGGAGCAGTCTCTCACACCTGTTAATCCCAGCACTTTGGGAGGACGAGGAAGGTGGATCACAAGGTCGAGTTTGAGACCAGTCTGGCCAACATGGTGAAATACCATCTCTATTAAGAATACAAAAATTGGCCGGGCACGGTGGCTCAAGCCTGTAATCCCAGCACTTTGGGAGGCCGAGACGGGCGGATCACAAGGTCAGGAGATCGAGACCATCCTGGCTAACATGGCGAAACCCCGTCTCTACTAAAAATACAAAAAAAAAACTAGCCGGGTGAGGTGGCGGGCGCCTGTAGTCCCAGCTACTCGGGAGGCTGAGGCAGGAGAATGGCGTAAACCCAGGAGGCGGAGCTTGCAGTGAGCTGAGATCCAGCCACTGCACTCCAGCCTGGGCGACAGAGCGAGACTCCGTCTCAAAAAAAAAAAAAAAAAAGAATACAAAAATTAGCCAGGTATGGTGGCATGCCCTGTAATCCCAGCTACTCAGGAGGCTGAGGCAGGAGAATTGCTTGAACACCAGAGGCAGAGGTTGCAATGAACCGAGATCGCACCACTGCACTCCAGCCTGGATAACAGAGCAAGACTCTGTCTTTAAAAAAAAAAAAAAAAAAAAGGCAAGATTGCCGGGCACTGTGGCTATAACCTCAGCACTTTGGGAGGCCGAGGCAGGCGGATCACTTGAGGTCAGGAGGAGTTCAAGACCAGCCTGGCCAACATGGTGAAACCTTGTCTCTACTAAAAATACAAAAAAAATTTAGCCAGGCTTGGTGGTTTGCACCTGTAATGCCTCGAGAGGCTGAGGCAGGAGAACTGCTTGAACCTGAGAGGTGGAGGTTGCAGTGAGCCAAGATCATACCACCGCACTCCAACCTGGGCAATAGAGCGGGACTCAGTCTCAAAAAAAAAAAAAAAGCCAGGATTCTGCAAAGTCCCTACCCCCAGTTAGGAAGGGCACCAGCACCTAAGAAATGAAGTCCACCAAAAAGGAAGACTAGAGAAGGTTGGCCCGTTAGAGGAAAGGCTTCTAGCTGAAGATCCAGCCCCAGTGGGACAGACACACACACACACACAGACACACACATGCCCCCACTGGGCTTTGCACAAACAAGGGAGCTGGAGGCGATGAGCCAGAAAAACTGCCCAATGACAAAAGGCTTTGTCTTCTCAGGAAGCCAGGCACCATTTAAAGGCACGGAAGCACACAAGGAGACCAGCTGAGGCAGGCACACACAACCCACCACAGGGCAGTCAGCCGGGCACTCTTCTCCACACCCCCACCCAGTGCCAGTGGAGGCATGAGCCCAGGGAGGAGGGAAGGCACAATGAATTTCTGAAGTGAAGTTTAAATAGATTTTATTGTTACAAGGGGGATCCCACCAAGCAGGGTCAATGACCCCCCAGGAGGTCACCATGGAGACATCAAGAGGTCATGATTGCAGAAGAGGTGACTGGAATTGAACGACATGATCCAGGGGAGGCCGGCCAGAAATGCAGTAACATGACCAGGATAGGCCGGTGGGGCTGGTCAGGTCACAGTGTGAGGAGCAGAATGCCCCCCTTCACTCCGGCCTCTTGTAGTCCTCCAGGTGTGACAGGATCCAGCCCGCTGGCAGGAAGAGGCTTACAAAGCAGAAGGTAAGCCCAATGGCCTTTTCCTACACAAAGCACAAGAAAGAAGGCACCTCGGAGTCAGTATTCCCCTAGGCTCTCTAAGTCCTAGCAGTTCCCAGGCAGCAGAAAGCTCCCCTCAGGGAGCCAGGACTCAGAGGCAAGTGGGAGGCCCCTCATCCTCACATTAAAGGAATCCACGCTCCAGGGAGCAGACAGAGCAGATCCAAGGCTCCACTAACCCTTGAGGTAAAGGGTCAGTTATAAGGAGGGGGAGGAGTGAGAGGAAAGAGAGACAGCTGGGGTGAGGGTTCAAGGAGAAATCCACCACCAGATCACAAAGGAAGGGAAAGGAAGCAGGACTTATTGAAACCTGGTTTGTTTGTTTTTTTGAGACAGAGTCTTACTCTGTCACCCAGGCTAGAGTGCAGTGGCATGATCTTGGTTCACTGCAGACTCGGCCTCCTGGGTTCAAGCGATTCTCCTGCCTCAGCCTCTGGAGTAGCTGGGATTACAGGCGCCTGCCACCGCGCCCGACTAATTTTTGTATTTTTTAGTAGAAACAGGGTTTCACCATCTTGGCCAGGGTGGTCTCGATCTCCTGACCTCATGATCCACCCTCCTCGGCCTCCCAAAGTGCTGGGATTACAGGCATGAGCCACTGTGCCCGGCCTGAAACCTGTTTTAAAGCTGGTCTGGGGCGGGCATGGTGGCTCACGCCTGTAATCCCAGCAATTTGGGAAGCCAAGGCTGGCGGATCACAAGATCAGGAGTTAGAGACCAGCCTGGCCAACATGGTGAAACCCCGTCTCTATTAAAACTACAAAAAATTAGCCGAGAGTCGTGGTGGGCGCCCGTAATCTCAGCTACTCGGGAGGCTGAGGCAGGAGAATCGCTTGAACCCGGGAGGCGGAGGTTGCAGTGAGCCAAGATCGCACCACTGCACTCCAACCTGGGCGACAGAGCAAGACTCTGTCTCAAAAAAAAACAAACAAAAAAAGAAAAGCTTGTTTGTTAACACCCAGGATCCTTGCATGGGCCAGTAACTCCAAAACTGTACCTATCCTTCCTTGCCTTAAAACCCCCTCCCAGGCCGGGCGCGGTGGCTCACGCCTGTAAGCCCAGCACTTTCAGAGGTTGAGGGAAGCGGATCAAGAGATAGAGACCATCCTGGCCAACATGGTGAAACCCCGTCTCTACTAAATATACAAAATTCAGCTGGGCATGGTGGCGCGCGCCTGTAGTCCCAAGCTATTCGGGAGGCTGAGGCAGGAGAATCGCTTGAACCCGGGAGGCGGAGGTTGCAGTGAGCCGAGATCGCGCCACTGCACTCCAGCCTGGCGACAGAGCGAGACCCCGTCTCAAAATAAATAAAATAAAATGCCGGTAACAACCATTATCGTCGCTGACAGCGTCAGGCATCCCCCAATGAACCAATGAGAAAATGGGCTCGAGGCAGTGCAGCGAGGAGGCGACAGGGGAGGGAGGGCCTGACAGGACCTGAGCCGAGATCCTGGGGCGGTGGGGAAAGACCTAACGCCGACAGCCCCGACTGTCGCCCGGGCACTGTCCCCGTCGTTCGCGCCCTCCAGACATGCCCAAACCGGCAATGCTGCTCCCCGCTACGCTGCGGGGCGCGGGGTGCGGGGCATTCTCAGGACCGCCTGAGGTCAGCAAGGCAGAAGGGGCAAGCCCACGGCGCCTCCCGTGCTCTTCCCGGCCAGTTCCTCACCATGATCCCAAGCTCCTCCTCCGGCGGCATCGAATGGACCTTGGCGCGCGGCACTGGGAGCCGCCGGGCCGAGCCTGTCAAGCCCCGCAGCAGCAGGGACGTCAGGACGGACATGATGACACGGAGTACACCACAAAAAGCTGTCAGCCGTAGCCCAAGGTCAGCAAGCAAAAATGGCTGCGCCGGCCGGAAGTTCCGGCATTGGGGAGGCCGGGAAACGGCGGCCCGGAAGTCTCTAGGAAATGACGCAAGAACACACCTCCTACCGCTGTTGGCAGTTTTTGGCGCATTCCTCGAAACAGCCAATTGACACCTTCCTACCGCTATGGGCGGAGCACAAAAGGGCTCTTCTTCTGGTTCTGTTCCTCCTCCAAGGCCTATACTTGTGAGTGACATCTCGGTCCACCCAATCATGTACGCGAGAAGCCTAAACTGTTCTTGACTCCTCCCTCCATTCATACTGTTAAATTTCTCTCTATTCAGGCCGGGTGTGGTGGCACACGCCTGTAATCTCAGCACTTTTGGGGAGACTGAGGCGGGCGGATCACCCGAGATCAGGATGTTTGAGACCAGCCTGGCCAACAAGGTGAAACCCCGTCTCTACTAAAAAAAGTAGGGGCTGGGCGCGGTGGTTCACTCCTGTAATACCAGCACTTTGGGAGGACGAGGCAGGTAGATCATCTGAGGTCGGAGTTTGAGACCAGTCTTGCCAACATGGTGAAACCCCGTCTCTACTAAAAATACAAAAATTGGCCGGGCGCAGTGGCTCACGCATGTAGTCCCAACACTTTGGGAGGCCGAGGCGGGTGGATCACCTGAAGTCAACAGTTCGAGACCAGCCTGGCCAATATGGTGAAACCCCGTCTCTATTAAAAATACAAAAATTAGCTGGCATGGTGGCGGGCGCCTGTAATTCCAGCTCGGGAGGCTGAGTCAGGAGAATTGCTGAACCCAGGAGGTGGAGGTTGCAGTGAGCCAAGATTGAGCCATTGCACTCCAGCCTGGGCCACAAAAGCGAAATTCCGTCTCAAAAACAAAAAACAACAATAAAAAAAGTTTGAGAGCAGCCTGGCCAACATGGTGAAATCCCGTCTCTACTAAGAATACAAAGAGAGCAAGACTGTCTCAAAAAAAAAAAAAAAAAAAAAAAGTCTCTATTCAGAGTCCCCTCCTCTCCACCAGGCCTCCATCATTCCTGACACTGACCTAGTAACCAAACTCCCCTCAATTACTCTCAATTACTATTTCACTCTTCGATTCCAGTTACCATGCTGGAGCAGCCAACTTCCCTTTCTTCCAACTCTCCCTCTATCTCTCCCTCCCCCATCCTTTCCTTCTTGGTTTTTTAAACCTAAATCTGACCAAGTCATATACTTTCAGTGGCTCCCCATTGCTTCCTAGGCAAAATCCCAATTCCTGAATGTCACTGTCCAACCTCAACTCTCAAAACTCTTCAATATGCCACACCTTCGACCCTGCTCTCTGATTTCCACCACCAAGCCTTTCGTTGCATTCAAAATGCACTCTGCATTTTGTTGTTGTTGAGACGAGCTCTAGCTCTAAGCCCAGGCTGGAGTGGAGTGGAGTGTGATCTCAGCTTAGTGCAGCCTTGCAACCTCCACCTCCCAGGCTCAAGCCATCCTCCCACCTCACCCTCCGGAGTAGCTGGGATTAAAGGCGTCCACCACCATGCCTGGCTTTTTTTTCTTTTTTTTTTTTTTGAGACAGAGCCTTGCTCTGTCGCCCAGGCTGGAATGCAGTGGTGCAATCTTGGCTCACTGCAATCTCTACCTCCCGGATTCAAGCAATTCTCCTGCCTCAGCCTCCTGAGTAGCTGGGATTACAGGCATCTGCCACCATGCCCAGCTATTTTCTGTATTTTCAGTAGAGACAGTGTTTCGGCCGGGCGCGGTGGCTCAAGCCTGTAATCCCAGCACTTTGGGAGGCCGAGACGGGTGGATCACGAGGTCAGGAGATCGAGACCATCCTGGCTAACACGGTGAAACCCCGTCTCTACTAAAAAATACAAAAAACTGGCCGGGCGCGGTGGCTCAAGCCTGTAATCCCAGCACTTTGGGAGGCCGAGACGGGCGGATCACGAGGTCAGGAGATCGAGACCATCCTGGCGAACACGGTGAAACCCCGTCTCTGCTAAAAAAAATACAAAAAACTAGCCGGGCGAGGTGGCGGGCGCCTGTAGTCCCAGCTACTCGGGAGGATGAGGCAGGAGAATGGCGTAAACCCCGGAGGCGGAGCTTGCAGTGAGCTGAGATCCGGCCACTGCACTCCAGCCCGGGCGACACAGCGAGACTCCGTCTCAAAAAAAAAAAAAAAAAAAAAGAGACAGTGTTTCACCATGTTGGCCAGGCTGGTCTTGAACTCCTGACTTCAGGCGATCCACCCACGTCGGTCTCCCAAGGTGCTGGGATTACAGGTGTGAGCCACCGTGCCCAGCCTTGTTTTTTTTTTTTTTTTGAGACAGGGTCTCACTCTGTCACCCGGGCTGGAGTGCAGTGGTGTGATCTCAGCTCACTACAACCTCCACCTCCCGGGTTCAAGTGATTCTCCTGCCTTGGCCTCCCTAGTAGCAGGGACTACGGGTGCCTGCCACTGCGTGCAGCTAATTTTTGTATTTTTAGTAGAGACGGAATTTCACCATTTTGGCCAAGGTAGTCTAGAACTCCTGACCTCAGGTGATCCGACTGCCTCTGCCTCCCAAAGTGCTGGGATTACAGGCGTGAGCCACCGCGCCCAGCCTAATTTTTGTAGAAATGGAGGGGGGTCTTGCTATGTTAGCCAAGCTGGTCTCAAACTCGTAAGCTGAAGCGATCCGCCCAGATCAGCCTCCCAAAGTGCTGGGATTACAGGCATGTGCCACCGCGCCTGGCCTGGCCTCTGAACTTTGGGTTTTGTTTTGTTTTGTTTTGTTTTGAGACATGCTGTCACCCAGGCTGGAGTGCAGTGGTGCAATCTCGGCTCACTGCAACCTCCACCTCACTGGTTCAAGCGATTCTCCTGCCTCAGCCTCCCAAGCAGCTGGAATTACACACCCGGCTAATTTTTGCTTTTTTAATAGAGACAGGGTTTCACCATGTTGGCCAGCCTGGTCTTGAACTCCTGGCCTCATGTCATCTGCCTGCCTCAGCCTCCCAAAGTGCTGGGATTACAGGCGTGAGCCACTGTGCCTGGCCTTGCTTCTGCATTTTATGTTCATTTTTTCAGCTCCTATCCAGGCTGCCTTTTTCACCAAGCTAACTCCTGCTTCCTGGCTTCCAGTTAATGATACCACTTACTTTATTCAGTGAATACTTGTCAGCCTTTACTGTGTGTTAGGAACCATTGTAGACACCAGTATAAACGAGGTGGATAAAGTTTCTTGTCACAAAGCTGACATTCTGAAGGTAAAAAACAGACAATAAATGGGCACTTAATTAGAAACGATTGTGTAAGTGTCGCGGTGAAAATAAAACGATGATGTGCTAGGAAGATACGTGGGGTGGGACTACTCAGGATGCCTTCACTGGCCACCCCAAGCCTGTCTCTCCTCTCTGTCCAGCAACACCTGTGACAGCCCTGCCCCACATGGTGGGTCTCCATCAAGACTAGGGGCCACCTGAGGGCAGAGCCTGTGTTGGTTCACCACTGTTTCCAACCAGACACTCTGAATGTTTCTAAACTGCAGGAGACTGAACAGTATTGAACTTAGGTAGAAGGCAGACAAGGAAAGGGGGTGTGGGACCAGCCACTGGGCCAGGTCTTAATGGTACAACCTCATTCCAGGTTTACAATAATGTCATGAAAGAGATACTACTATTATTTCAATTATCTGAGACAGTGTCTTGCTCTGTTGCCTAGGCTGGAGTGCAGTGTCATGACCACAGCTCACTGCATCCTCGACCTCCCAGGCTCAAGTGATCCTCTTGCCTCAGTTTCCCGAGTAGTTGGGACTACAGGCACACACCGCCATACCTGGCTAACTTTTTATTTTTTGTAGAGTCAGAGTCCCACTATGTTGCCCAGGCTGGTCTTGAACTCCCGGGCTCAAGCAATCCTCCCACCATGGCCTCCCAAAATCCTGGGATTACAGGCGAGAGCCACTGCACCTGGCCTATTTCAAATTTTTTACAAATGAGGAAATAGGCCTGAAGAGTCAGGTGACTTGATCAAGATCATGAAGCTACAAGGCTGCCTTGCCAGGATTACAGGGCGGGTCTGTTGCCTCCAAAACCCATGCTTTTAGCCACCACACATGCTGCTGCAGAGGTGGACTTTCCAGAAGTTCCAGTTTTGACATTGAGGTTAATAACCAAAGTCTGTGGCAGGGGGTGGCGATGGGGTGGCAAGAGATTGAGAAACAGGAGCTTCGGAAGAGAAACCTCAGTCCATGGGTGGTGGGGGCGGGTGTCACAGCAAGGCGGCAATGAACTCGGAGTGCCCTAGAAGGGGAGCTGTGTCTCGGCTTCCTCTGGAGGGATGTGTTCCCAGGCCCCAAGCTCATCCCTCTTCACTGCCCCCTCATCTTCCCCACCCCATTCTAGTTTGTTGTTTGTTTTTGGCTTACAACACCACAAATTTATATTCTTACACTTCTAAAGCTCAGCAATATAAAATCAAGATGTCAGAAGGCCAGTATTTCTTGTCGGGGCTCCAGGGCAGAATCCATTACCTTTTTTAATTTCTAGAAGCCACTTGTATCTCTTGGTTTGTAATCCCTTCAAAAAATATGGAACGCTTCACGAATTTGCGTGTCATCCTTGCACAGGGGCCATGCTAATCTTCTCTGTATCGTTCCAATTTTAGTGTATGTGCTGCCGAAGTGAGCACTGTTTTTTTTTGTTTTTTTTTTGACAGAGTCTCGCTCTGTAGCCCAGGCTGGTTTGCCGTGGTACGCTCTCAGCTGACTGCAAACTCTGCCTCCCAGGTTCAAGTGATTCTCCTGCCTCAGCCTCACCAATAGCTGGGATTACAGCCACGTGACACCACGCCTGGCTAATTTTTTTTTGTTTGTTTGTTTGTTTTTTTTGAGACGGAGTCTCGCTCTGCCGCCCAGGCTGGAGTGCAGTGGCCAGATCTCGGCTCCCTGCAAGCTCCACATCCCGGGTTCACGCCATTCTCCTGCCTCAGCCTCCCGAGTATCTGGGACTACAGGCGCCCGCCACCTCGCCCGGCTAGTTTTTTTTTTTTTTTT